ACGAATCGGGACGGTGGCGCCTTACGCCCATCGGTCGGAAGCAAGTGCTGTACAAACTAGCCAGAGTGGACAGCGAGCATCTGGTCATGTCTTCCCCCGATGCACCCGTCGTCGACTGCGACGAGTTTCCATTGGTTGGCGACGTTTTGGACATGATGTCCCGGTTGATCAACTTCCGGTGTACTTCGTTCTTTGAGCAACTGTACGCGAAACGCGGCTGGGTCGGTAAATTGGCTCACCACTTCCTGGAGGCACCCACAGTAAAGCAGGTCCGGGTCGAAGAAGAACAGAAAGATTCCGCTTCACAACGAGAGGCTTTTCCTCGTACCTCGCCGCCGCGCATCTCTTTACGAAGATTTTCTTCCGTACGATTTCTCTTTCATTTGTCGGTATTTGTACTAGCTGTTTTTCTGTTGTTTCGTTGGAACCCGCTATACATATTTTTTATGTATGTCGCAGTTAGAATTTTATTATCTTGTGTTCTTTGTCTCCTAATGGAATAAACATTAATTTTTGAACGGCGTTAATCTACAGGCAAGCCGGTACGATCTGAGATCATTCAGTATTCCCCATTTTTACGTTAATATACGATGGAAATCGTCGTAGAGATCATATCCCTCGTGAAGGAATCATTTGGCGAGGACATGCCCAAATTAAGGACCACCATTTATCTGGATTCATTTGGACCACACGGACAATCACAAATGATGTACATCGTTATTCGAAACTCGCGTCAGGAACCAACCGCTCTGCTTGACCCCATCATCTCCAGCATCCTCGTAAACCTCAAGATTACCATTACTTAAACAGAGACAGTCTTAGTTTGTTGTGTGTTTGTTGACATCATCACACTGAGCCGTTTGCATAAGCAGAATATTTTTTGTTTGTGGTGTCTGCAGTATTCGCAGCTTTTCAGCACTTTTGTTATAAGACATCGGTTACTGCGTCGCAGAAGGAAATAGTCACTCTGAAAGAAGATCTATCTCAACGTTGTTCCTCTGTGGTGCTTGCTGATCTCTTGATCGAAGCAGTGTTTCGGCTCTTACAGAGACGTTCATAGGTCTGAGTCAATGGATTATGCCCAATCAGTTTCTAGCATGGACAACCTCCTCTTATTCTCCACATATATCGAGGTTACCTGTATTTAGAAAACAAAAGTCGTTCCTTACGTAACCGTGCCATTTAACCGTCATGCATCAAAGTCAACGCTGCTATACAAAGTTCAACCTGTATTACTGGTCCTTCGTTAGAACAACTGCTTCCATAGCGCGTAACAATATTGACTTGACAGAAGTAAGGAGCGTACGAACATCTGTGGGAATAATGACTGCTGTATCAACCCAAACAGTACACAGGTTTCCAAAAGCACTTGAGGGTAGCGCGATCCTCCAACTTAAATCTGGCTCGATAGTGCGGTCGTAAAGTTGATGGAGCAGAGACACTTAAACTGTACAACGTCCTGAAGAGCGTCATTTCCCTGCTTCACTCGTAGATCGGTTGTGCCGGATGAGTCCTATACAACTTCTGACTTTCGGGCGTTAAGGAGGAGAGCCACTTTCACAGTTCTGTTGCAGTGGCGAAATCCACTTCCTCTACTACACACCAGGACAATATCATCTGCATACTGCAAATCAGCAAGATATCTTGAACTGCGCCTTTCCTCTAGAATGACAACTTCGCCTTTTCCAGTTAGCACTGTTTGAGAGAGAAAAGTCGAGAGCAGCTTCCCTAGCGAACTCTACAGTTAATAGGGAATCAGTCATATAGCTCAACTTCAACCTTGACTGCAAACATGAACC